CAGGAACAGAGGAAAGGCATTTTGAGCTGGTTCTCTGCTCGCCAGACGTCAGAAACGCTGTGCCAGTCCTAGCAGCGGGTCTCCTGCCTGCATCAAAGGGCCCTGAACAGCGCCAAGAAATTTTGGGGGTTCGATCTGTGGCACCCAGCACCTAGAGAACAGGCTCAGACCCGCCTGAGGGACTCGGAGGCAGCAGCCAGGCGGTATTTGGAAGCAAAGGGCTAGAGCTGGAGGGAGAACGCGGAGGAAACATCTCCAGAGGGAGGTACAGGAGGTGATCCACCGAACCGGCTTTTGTTAGAAGCCTGTGTAAACCCTCCGAGTCCCGAACACAGCAACCACGGACACCGCAGGGAAGAATTAAAGGAGGAGATGGGCACAGCGGAAGGCTTCAGACTCGCCTCTGCCCTGCAGCCTGTTCTCAAACGGATCTACGGCCATGCAGCTGAGCTCCTGCCAGAGGGAACAGACACAGGGGTTTGGTTTCCAGTTCACAGAGGATTACAGGTATTGCCTGGAAACGTTAATTAGGATAATTAAGTCAGCGGGAGGTTGGTTCAGGTAAAATAACGGTCCCTGAGAAGCCAGGGCCATCAGCAAGCGGCAGGTTGCTGCCAGCCCAGCGGTGCTGCCGGAACCGTCAAACCCAGGGTCCCGGCAGCAAGAAACCCCCAACGCTCGCAAGGAAGCGCCCACAAAAGAGCTTCCCTTGGTGCTCCCCTCGGGACAACACCCCGGAGCTGCTTGTCCCAACAGCAGGTGCCAAAGCAGGAGGGAAAAACGAGTTACTGGCGTCACTCCAAACAGAAACTTGTGTGTGTCTATCCCTGATCCCCAGCGAGCATCCCCAGGCGCTGCTGGGAAGACAAGGGCATCTCAACACCAGACAAGAGGAGAAAAACAGGAACGTGCTTCTCCTCAGTGGAAGGACAGTGTTGCTTTGCAGCCGCGGAGACAAGCGGGCGGCGTGGGAGACACTTACGTTGTAGGAGCGAGGGTGCCGCTGCTTCCACTGAACCAACAGCAGCTGCGCCACCACCAGCGTGGCGATGAGGATGAGGACCATCTCGGCGTGCATCGCCTCGTGCCCGCGGTGCTTGGCGTGCATCCGCGCGTGCTCCACCCTGCAACAACCGGGAGAAGGCGGCTGAAGAGCGTGCGGATGCAGACCGCACGCTAACGGCACGGCCGGCGAACACCTCGGCACAACCAGACCCAGGGACATCACAGAGCGCAGCAGAGACACAGAGAAGAAAAGGAAAAAAAGGCGTCTCTGAGAGCAGCTCATTTTGAAATCATGAAAGCCCAGCCCATGCAGCCCATCCCGGTGTGAAGGAGGCAGATATAACCCACGCTGAACGAACAAATGTCGAATGTTCACTTCACACAACTCACCGAGCGGCTGTTTGATACCGCGAGCACGCACCCACGCTCAACACCAAACCCTCAGCCCAGTTTCGGAGCCATCAGCACCATCCTGCCTCTTGCCCAGCCAGGGAAAAGGCTGGATGGATGGTGGGGGGGATGATCTACAGCCGGCAAGACCCGCAAACACCCGCCAGACCCGCAAATGCCGGCAAATCGCTTCTCTCTGCCCTGGGCAACCCCGTCTGCATCCTGGAACAAGCGATTTCCAGACCGACGCTCCACAGACACCTGGGGCTGTTTGACCAAAAACCGAGGCAGAATTCAGACCCCTACCATCCTTACATCTCGGTCTTAGTTCAAGTTGGGGGGAAAAAAAAAATCCAAAGCCAACAAGCATGCCAAATTTGCTGATCTGAAGTCATCCTCTGTAAACTAATACTCCGAGAAGACGACTCTTGCTGTGCTTTTCAGCAAGTGTCTGGCTGGAAGCGGTTTGGCTCAGGGAAAAGGGGGAATACCTAATAAGCAGTTCAAAATAAAAAACATTTTAAGACAGTTTGTGCTTCTCCCTAAGAAATCACGCTGCACAGGGCGGGCTGACCCTGTCCTCTCCCGCCGTGGACACGGGCTGTGCTGCTGGAGGCTCCGGTCAGGAGCTGTACGCACTGGCTCATCTAACGACAGACTCACCTCCATCGCTCCTCAGGGGACAAGTGCGAAAGATCGACCTGAGGAGAAAAAAAAAAAAAAACAAACAAATCAGCTGCTGAAGAGTGGGAGCAGCAGTACCAGCCTAGAACGGATCATTATTTACTCCATCCCCTCAAAACAGCGCAGATGTGGGGGTTTATGACCCACACGAGCACGGCTGTGCTGTGTCCACACCAGTGACACCGACACGGCGCCCTGCAAGTGACACCGACACGGCGCCTGGCTCTGCATCTCCTGCTGAGCCCCGACCAGTGTCACCAGCAGCTGCAAAGCCATCCCCAAGACCCCCAGGATTGCTCGTGGTGAGCTTTAAGAAGGGAAACCCTAGATTCAGAAGCTTTAAACAACAAACCCTCGCCGTGCCCATCGTCACACACAGCCCAGAGCTGTCCCTCGACCCTCCTGGTGACACAGGAAGAGCTGCGGAGCCCGCCGGCTCCCCCAGGCTCTGCCCGCCATCCCACGCCACGCACACCAGAGGAATCGGTTTAAATCCCACGTTCACAACCCTGCCAGGCATCTCCGGCCACCGAGGGGTGACCCCAGCGCACGTCAGCGACAGGAGTCCAAAACGCCACCAGTCTGCATAACCAGGGATGGCGGCTGTGCACCAGCAACAAGCCAGCACCAAAAAGATTTTTCAGAAAGAACCACGGAAAAAGATTTAGGATTTGCTTTGCTGACACAGCTGGAAGTTTCCCCCCCAGTGAGATTTGGGGTGAATGCTCCCATCACAAAGCATTCGGACTGGGGAGGGGTGGGGGGACCTCTGACATTGCGATTCATCTTTCTCTCAGAGTTTAAATCTTCACCGAAAAGCTGAGCACCGGGCACATCCCTGCGTGGGCGCGCTGGCCAGG